GGGGGGGGGGGGGGGGGATAACAGACAATCAAAGAAATTTTCTCCAGTTTTTACTCCGAAATCTCGCGACGTCTCTTCTAGCATAATGACGAACATTGTTAACCACCTAATGTCGCCTACGATCGGCATGCGCACTGGACAATGTTAACTCTATCACATGGCATTAACGCAGCGCTGGTTCCATGGTCAAATCGGAAAGGTTAGTATACCGCTCCGCGAGTCGGCCGTATTGTATCGAGCCGAGAGGGCTACTACACCACGAATGCAGGTTGAGTAAGTGAAAGTGAGGTTAGGTTTGGTGGCGGCGTCACGTGGTGCACCACGGGGTCCAAACGAGGTTAATCGGGAGACCGAGAGGACCGAGCGCCGGCGCAACCAATCAACACAAATGCTGGCCACTCTGCGTTGCTCCTCTTTTTTTTCGTTTCCCTTTAAAATTTGCCCGTGCAAGCCGCCGCCACGGCTCGAGGAGAACAGGCTCTCCGACTCGCGTGCGTTGTTTCCGCGAGCGCTAAAGCACAGAAGCAGACGCCGTTTTGCCCCCCTCCGCCGGCGGCTCCCCGTGCGTGCACGCACCGTGTACGTCACTGCGAGAGCGGGCAAAAAACACCATCGCGAACGTTACAAGGAAAATTCCAACGTCACGACGCGACATCGGGAGAGCCGTGTGCGACGACCGATATCCAATGAACACCGCTACCGTCGCGCACCGTAGCACGGCGTTGCACACGGGGGGAAACGGTGTGGAGAAAACACGGAGGAAAAAGAAGAAAAAAAAGAAATCCACGTTTCGTACTCCTTCCGCGGCCGCTAGTCAGCGCTGAAGTAGTATTTGCGCGAATTTCGAAGAAAACCACGAATCCCGTGTTCTAGAAGACGATCGAGCGCGCGGGGCGGAGAGGGGGCGAACAGGGGGCAAGAGGGAGGGATGTATATCGAGCCCGCGTCAAGAAGAGCATTCTAAAGATACTCGCGTTGCGTTGTGAATCGGAATCGAGTCGTTCTGTCGTGTTCGCTCTGATACTCACCGATCAGTGGAAAGATACTCGGCTGGTCCAGTAGCGACTTGAGGCTGTTTTCAACGAGGATGGGAGAAGAACGGTCCTTGTCACTCATTTCACGCACTGCGCCACGAAGCCGCACGTTCCGAGGTACACACGCACACCAACTACGTTCGTATACGGGAGGTACACCGCGCGAGAGAGAGCGAGCGAGAGGCGTGTATTCCGCTGGCAGGCTTTTATGTATGCGTGGACTATAGTGCGAATGTGTACCGCGTACCAGAGACAGAGAGAGACAGAGAGCGAGGGAGCGGGCGACAGAGTGAGAGAGACAGGGGCAGGCACACACGCGGACAACCGTGCAATAACAGGCGAGACACGGCGACGATGGGAACCGATTGTGCCTCCCGTGGGACACGATCGAATGACGTTCTTCCAGACCGGCAGAGAGAAAAGGCGCCCGCACCCGAACCTCTCACCTCGTCACGCTGTTACAACTATCACCCGAGACGGTCGCGGCCCGTTCGAACACTCTGGCCACGTTAAAATAAACGCGGAGCGCTACCCTGTGCACGGTGCTCTTGAAAATCAATCTAAAAGTGGCTCGGCTGGTGGCGCAATCTCCTGGCTACCCTCCGGACCGACTCGCGAACAAGTGAACGACGCCTGCCGTACTGATAACGGAGCGCTGTGCTTTGCTCTCGCCTTATCGCGATGCGCGCGCACACCGCGTCGACCTCTGACTCCACCGCGCCCCCCATCTACCAACGGTTTGCGAAAGTTCGCCGGGTTCGCAAATATAAGTGGAAGCCGTTTGCCGTTTTACGGTTTTGTTTTCTTTGCGGTGATTTGTACATTTAAGCAGTCGATTATACGACCTTACACCAGTTTATCTGCGACTCGGCTCGGGGCCGCTGCAACGTAACCTCGTTTTCGTTACGGTGCGTTGATAGGGAAGTAGCCGTGAATCGATGCGGTGTTACCGACGCTGTCGTATCCCGTGTTGGATCGACTAGAAAGTTATAATTGCTGGATTTAGAGTGGGGAAATTGGTTTGAATTTATTATAACACGCGAGACGCGTCGCGAGCATCGGAAAATGAACCGTAACCAGGCGAAATGTTGTGGAAAATTGCAGGTGATGGTTGATTAGGATAGATACGTTTGATTCTTCGTTTTTTAATTACATAAATCTGGACTACAGTGACAGACGTGGAAGACGTTTTACATTGCTACTGTAAGAAATTGATCACTCGTGCAGGTTCAGCATTAGCTGCTGAACCATTGTTACATTTATTATTTCGAAAAACAACGACCGGCACACGATTATGCTTTTATACACCAGAATTATACGTTTTTAAAAATATATATTGTGATTATATATATATACGAATAAAGTTTGCTTCTTGGTTCTCCTCTGATGTTTGAATAGTACAACTTAAAGCACTCTGGCTCTGAAGTCCAGACATTTATGGTTATATTACTGTCAATTGTACAAATGTAACTTACATAATCATTGTATTGAATATCCGATGATCCGTTACGATATTCTCAGACTTCTTTTTGATTTTCTTGGTAAAATGAATTCGGGACCTCCGGTGACGTGATCTTTCGAACGGCCATTCCGTGATTCGATATTTCGAACGCTTTGATCATCTCGCATCTCGAATATCTCGAATCGTAGGTATACGAATTGTCGATATATTATAGATCGAACTGTGATTCCTTATTGAAATTTAAATGATCTTTTCTCTCATAGTTTGAAACAATTCGTTAATTTTATTTTGTTGTACGATAAAGATACAAATTATTTAATCCACGATCGATATAATTAGTTTAACGCTAAACCTATCACGTTGGTCGAATTGATCGACACCAAATCATATGACTGAATAGAAATGAATATGACTGAATGAATAAATAAATTAATTCGAACGTACGTTATAATCAAAATAACGAGAATCTCTAAATAAATTAAACAGCGTGATTTTTAGAAAATAATTCACGTTTAGTCACTTTAAGCGCTCTGTTGGTTTACGATTAAAAATTTGAAAACGAAGCCGGAAATTTTGCAATTCGTGCTATAAAATTGTTCAGAAACTGAATACATTACATGTCACTCTTTTAAGCACAAATCTTGCAAGGTGATAACAATATACAACGAGAGTCGATTATTATAATTTAAAGGACGTTTGAATGAAACAATAAGGATCTGTGTGTGCGTGCGTGTTTCATTAAAAATTCTTTTCACGTCAATTATTAACGAACAAAACCGGTTTCACATTAAGTACGTACTGTTTCGTGCGATGCTTAACACTTTACAGTATAGTTGAATGTTAGTTTTTGGCTTATAACCAATGTCAATCGTTTGTAAAACTATTGAAAATATTTTGCACCTAATTAACATTAACTCTATATACTTCTCTCACTATTATATGTATACTTAAAAGTATTCGCTATATTCACATAATCATTAGCTACCTAACGAAGCTTTGAACAAATTTATATCCTAGATTTACAAAGATACGAAATACAGAATACCTTTTGACTCGAAGCACAGAGTAAATGCATTAACCTCGTCCTAAGTACTCTTGGCGAAAAGCAAACAAAATGCATGGTGAATAGGCAGTATTTTGAACACAATATTTACAGTAAACTGTATCGTACCGATATCCCCGGTTGCATTCAACGTTCAGTCGTTCAGTGCATCGAATGCAAACGTATCAAATAGATTCACTAGATGCTGTCCGTTTAAAAATAAATATACAAGCAACTCTCTCAAACCCAAACGCTCAGCGATTCGGCATTGGTTTGCGTGGTGGCGAAGCTTCGCCTGTGCTGCTTCAAAAGAGCACGGACTTCTACTGGTATTGAGGACCACCTGCGATGTCTAGCCTTGTCCAGAGGTACCTCGGGAAGGCCGATCTCCGTGTGATAGCCTCTGATTGGCGAGATCGGCAGCGCGCCGGGTAAACCGATTTCTTGAAACGAATTAAACGATGAGAATCCGCTCTCGTCCTCCACGCTGCATACACTAGCGGGTTGCTTAGTTTTGGGACATCTGTCCTTTTCCTTCTTCTCAATATTTGCGGTAGGTTTATTTGGCGTGGAAGTTGGCGCAAGTGCGAACGTGACGGTGTGCTGCTGCAGCGGAACGTTGCAGGTGCCGTTTACCGGAACAGCGTCCTCCTCTTCGGTGGTTTTGCTGCTTCCTGAATTGACCGACGTGGCATCGATGGACATTCTACCACTCGGAGGAAGATTCTCTAAGCTCAGGTCAATCCCTGTCATATGACACAACGATTTCCCCAAACAAGGTCTGTCGTCACTCTCTGCGCCCCTTCCATGGTCGTTGCTGCGACGTCGCGAGTACTTGGCCTTCCCTTGCGCTGCCGTCGAGTTCACGAAACTGTTGTTCTGCAGGGACTGAGGCATCTCGTTGTGATGACCATTGTGTTGATCGTAATCCACTGGCGAGGGAGAGGAGTCCGTATTATCGACCGGCGTGATCCTTGCTAGATCGGGTTCTCTCGTGGCTAGCAGTGTCTGCGCCGTCCTCATTAAGCTGCAAAGATTCACACCGTTAGTATACCGTCAAATAACTTTCATAGATAAAGCAAAAGCTTTCTTCGCTCTACTGTAGCTTTAGCAGCACGAGAAATCGAGGACTAGTAAAGGGATTTTGTTAACACTTAGCCAACCGAACGGGGAGATCTCCCCGTTTTGAATTCAGTCGATCGACGACCGAATGGATGATTAATGAAAAATTAAAAATGATTGCTTAATTTTATTAAGATTTGCAAGAGGTACGAATGCTGGAGAAGTAATCGATGCCATATAAGTTTGCTTCATAATTTTTGTTTGATCGAATGAAATATTTTAATTTTATGAAAATTCTTGAGGTTTCTAGCGCGGTCGTGGAAGTGTTAATTGCAGATGAAGTTAACAGGAGTGATAGATCGGAGTGGGAGATAGTATCATCGACTGGTCCACAGGTTTTGCTAATTGAAGATGAAGATTGTTAAACAGTTAAATACCTAAACGCTTCCTGGGACAGCTTCTCAGGTGGGATTTCGTTCGGATCCAGCTCCTGCTGCTTCGGCCTTTTGTAGACCACTCCCTCGTTCGTCTTATTGAGATCGTTGGATTTGCTCCGCGGTGGTGTACAATGCACCGGGTCGTTCCTGCGCAGCACTGACCAGGTGGCCTCACGGTTGCCGCTGGTGCAGGGTGAGATCTGTGTGATGGACTTCGCCCTGATGAAACGGGACGAGTCCGAGGAGGAGGAAGACGAGGATGTACAGGCACCACGATTCGGCGAAGAGTCATCGTGCACCGTGTGGACGCTGCGACTGCGACGTCCACTCGAACCTTTGTCCTTAAGACCATTCTTCTTGTGAAGAATGTCCAAGCTATTGCGGGCGCGGTCCAGGAAACGCACCACCTGCTCCATGAGGGAGCGGTACATCTGTCTGTTCGAGTCTACCTGTAATTTTTAACACAACTGTTAGAGATCGTCTGAACAAAAATCTCGAATGCTAAAATCAATCTTCCAATAATGTTCGGTAATGCGAAAAAGTTAGACGTTTCTAATCTGTAATTGACTTCTGTGAATACATTAACACGTTGAATGCCACGCCGGTTTTACAGAAATTGTCCGTGGCGCCACGATGAATGTTCTTTTATTGTTTATAATGTTGAAATATTTAAACCATGTTTGACATGTTAATTGCGACAGGGGTCACTGTTCGAATTGACGATGGTAATAATACAAAATTTTAGATATTGACATTTGCTTTAAATTACATATATTTCTATCAATTTGGGTGCGCCGGTCACCGGTGGCCCCCATGGCGTCACCGCCAAGTTCAGTGCCGGTCACCGGTGACTCCCATGACATTCAACGTGTTAAATGCTAAGAGGGTCGTTGGTTACTAAAAACGTATCGTACGAAAATGTATTCTCTTGGTAAAAGTTCGTTGAACTCTCTTCTAATTTCATCGAATTTTTCACAGTTCTACCGAAGCTGTTAAGAGGACGTGCACACGTGGTCTGCTGCATGTGGCACAAGGTAGCAGAACGTTCGGCGGTGGAGATATGCTTTTTAAAAGGAGCGAACAAATTGGAATTTTCAAGTCGAACAACTCGTACGGCCAAGATCGGGCAAACGAGAGTAGAAGCAGAACCTCATTCCGCTCGGTATTAGTCACATTAAAGAAGCAGTTTCTGCCGAAGATAGTGAAAGTATTCTGCAGCTGGAAGAAAAAAAAAAGATCGTAGGCCTTCGAGGTGTCGGGACACATCAGTGTCCGTGAGCCTCTGGCCAGCCAACCAGAACCACCATACACGGAGAGGTTAAATTAATTAACGCAAATGGAAAATATCTTCGGCAGATGCATTAACTGCATTTGCATCTCGGTACTTTCGCCATCGCCGATCGAACTTTGCTATTTCTTCAGCCTGGGGGAGGGAGATATTTTCAAGATAGGAATTGTCCACCGATCCTTTATCCGTTTCCCCGATGAATCACCGATTTTTAAGAGGCAAACTCGAGGCGCGCACAGTTTCCCCTATGGCGGATTCTCTCTATACGGCAGAGCATTTGCCAATAACGCGCCGACAAAGCGTTATCGCGACGGAATTATTCGTCGACGGCCCGATCGGGGATTGAATAATCGGAACAAGGTAATCTGGTCGAGGGCATTACCAGTTTACCGGTGTGAGTCAAGCACGTTAAACGATCGTCAGCCGCGATTACATGCTAACCTGTTTCAGCTGCCATTGCAGTGTTTCGATTTGCGTCTGGAGCGCAACGTTGTCGATCATTTGCGTGTGCGGCGACCGATTCACCGTCAGCGCATCCTGTAGCCTTTGGTTCTCCTCGATCAATGACTGGCATTGCTGCAACAGAAAACACACAGAACATAAACATTCGTCCCCTAGAATGTACAGTAATTATCATTAGACTTAAGACGACGAATTTTATTACGCAACTATTACTTATTTATTTAGCCTTAGTTCATTAATCAAGACACAACACGCCGTTGCGTTTCCGAATCAAATTCCAGTCATAATTCTTGTCACGGACTGCGACACGTGATCAAATAATCAAAATAATAAAATAATGCAATTTGTTTGGTTCTTCGAAGCGAAACAAGCATCAACCCTCGGGCTCATAAGATCGACTTCATTTATCGACGGGGGTGGCTTACGTCGAATGAAGATACAATTTTGATGACATTAATATTTAAAAACCGACTTATATATAGCGAAGTACTTATAAAGACGTAATTATTAATAATAAATTCATCGGAATGACTACAGTAAATTCTTCCTAATCGACGCTAAAAATTGTGCACAAAAATAGACAATTTGGGAAGAGGTGACACGATTGTTCGAGCCTCGCTGCTCGTTTTTATAGTTATTGACAATTTGTAGCTACAAAAAACGAGCCGCAATTCGGTGGTCAATTAGGGGCAGAATTCACTGTATTCCCACCCGAAGGGTGTAATCGCGACGCAAGGAGGAGGAGGAGTTGGACTACGAATATACCGCTCCAAACGGTGACACTAATTATCCTAACCGTGAATAGACGAAACGAGGAGAGGACCGTTGCGAGGAGCATATGCGAGTGCGAACAACCCGCTAAACCGTCCTCCTCCTCCTCGGTTAATTAACATTATCGAGGTGGCGTGCGCATTGTCGGCACGGAAACCGTCCGGTTTCTGGTACAACTTTCCTGGATGCAATAATTATTTTCAAAGGAGGAAAGAGGAGCGAACGTGTGTGCGCGCACGCTTTGATACAAGGTTTTCACCTTGCGTAGGAGATTCTCTCACACGGTGGAGTGAACACAAAACCGACGTTAGCAGAGCGTACGCTTATTTATTGTACAACGAGCCGGTGTGTTCACCTATTTAGCCTCCTCTGAACCGATCTTTTTCGTTTTACTTCCGGTCCGAGACTCCACGAAATTACCTGGGGCGCCTTTCGTTCCGAACCCGAAGAACAAATAATGGCGAGCAAAGTGCGCCGGGATCCCCCCGTCCGGCTCTAAAATCAGCCGGCGGCCGGCCGCCATCTTGGACAACCTATCGCGGCCACGCGGTGAATTTTAATCGAGCCGGCAGTTTCAGCTATTCCAGTCACGGGCCTGTTATCGAACAAACAATTAACCATCGAACAGTTAGTCGAGTTACTAATCGAAGCCCATTTAAAGACCGTGCGCGCGTGTCGACAATGCGGATCGGCCGGGAGCAAGACTCCCTCCTTCTCGCTTCGCCCCATCGGTTTGCGACAGGGCCGTTGGGTATTTGCATTTTTTTTGTTCTCCGTCTCTTGGCGCTCGTCCTCGCTCTTTTCATTTCGGCGCTCGTCTCTTTAAAGACGGGCATAAAGAAGGAGCCCTCGAAGAAACACCGAGGTTTCTGACATTTCCATACAATGGCGGGAAAAATACGGTACGGGTTGCGAGATATCCGGCGATGGGCCATGCTTGATAACGAAGCCAGGACGCGAGAGATGTTGAAAGAGTCGTGTGTGCGTTCATCGTTCGAATCGGTCTCCGGCGTCCACAGGCTATCGCTCATCGTCGTTCGAACAGCGAACAGATTTCTGTCCGTGACACCTACAGCTCCCCCGGGGAGGGGGCAGGGGGGAAATATCCATGGAATCGGAACGCGAACGCTGCGCCAACCGGAAGTCTTCTTTTACGACTTGCGATGTGGATAAAGGACAAGCCTAATCGCCTTGTTCTAAATAACAATCCCAGCAGAAATGATTGTACCCGCGTTACCGCATGTGGCTTGTTTTACGAGTGAAATTGCTGTTGCTATTGAAAAATTCATTAAAAGCCCGTTGTTGCCTAATCACGGATTTCCGAAAGTGAATACCTCCCCTTTATTTTCGACTGTTCGCTTAACCGAGTTTCCTTAGAAAGTGATCACCAGGCACCGGTTTTTTGCGCGTTCTTTCCTTTTCGCGGAAATCAACAACCTATTTTCAGTTTTAAAGAATTTAATGTTTGATCGTTTAATCGAACCTCGACGCGTCGGCGCGGTCAATTCTACATAAAAATCAAGCGATTTAGAGAGACTGCGCGCTTCGAAATCGCGCGACGAATTGCCGCGGCAGAATGATTGCAGCACTCTGTACAAGCATAATTTACCTCTGGCGAACGGTTGACAACAACGCGACATTAACGGACCCGTGGGAAAAGAACATAAAGGAGAATAATTTCTATCAATGGCCGAAATTTCCCGCGGAACGACTTCGTGACGACCCGAAGAGAATTAATTATTGCACGGGAATAATTGATGTGCGCGCGCGCGCGCGCATGAGCAGCTCGCGGTAGTTTCATACACGATTCGTTTCTGCGTTTTCACAGCGTTCGTAAACAGGGATTTATTTTCTATCGGGAATCAGAATCACAGGCCTCGCGCGCTTGCACAATCATGATGTATTACAGATTTCATTAGCAACCACTTCACACTCGTTGAAGTAACCGATTCAGGTGCCTAGAGAACCCACTGCTCGGGGCGCCCGCTCTATTAATTTCTTAATTATACCAGCTGTCAGGACTCGTTATTATTGCTCCTACGCTTTCCTTCGGTGCTAACTCTGGTAGCGTACGGGAATCGAGTCGTGCTCAAAGAGATCGTTTATGTAGAACTTCCTAGAACCCTTTGTTGATTAACCGCGATTCGCCGCGGTTCCGCCATTTTGGTCCCGCGCGAAACAACCTCCCACCATTTTATTGCAGTCTTTCGCAGACTACTTGCAGTTTCGTGATAGACTTAAAATACTTCTACGACGATTTCTAGTAATTTTTTAGTATTTTTTCTAGTAAGTTTTTTCTCCTGTTTTCAAGTTAGAATCAAATACTGTTTTCTTGTTATCGATATTCGAGCAGATATAGGCACACGATAAATACGCATCCTCTTCGAAAAAAGAAAAAATTACTACTAGCCTGCAGATTTTATTTCAACAATTTATGGCAACAATTGGTCAAATTTGAAACAGTAAATCAAACTCGAAGAACCTGAGAATGTTGATGTTAATTCATTTCAACTTGTCAAAGCATGTCGTACAAAATACGCGGACAATTTTTATCTTGCACGAAGATCCGTCGTCCGAGATTTTAATATGAATTAAAAACTTTTTACTTTATTCTATTGCGAATTTAAATTATGATACTGCAATCGAAAAGGATCTAATCGTTGCAATTCCGAACGATGCAACAAGAAGTCGATCAAAATCGTTGAGAAATCCTAACGTACGCAAAAACGTGGTATACAAATGAAGTAGAAATAATTTCGAGGCCGCGCGCTCGCCGACAAAAATTCACGAAATTGCGCAACAATTGAGCGAACAACGGAGGGGGGGAGGGGGGAAGAGATTTAAGGTGCAGCATGTCGGCCGCAGGGTTCACAGGTGAACAGCGTTCCGCAATTGGAATAAATCCGTGCGGGTACCGTATGTACACGATGACGACCATTAGCACAAAGAGCCTAGCCAGCCAGCGTGTGCAAGTAGAAACGAAGGAATACTGAATAATTCAGGCAGTGACCGTAGCGAGTGACGTCACGATAGTATTCAGCCGGTGGACGGTTCAAGCTGACCGACCATGCAGAACCCCATCCGCTTGGGACCCCACTAAAAATTTCAGCTTTCCGTACAAATTCCCCTTTGCACGGCTCCCCGGCTTCCCAGGCAAGAAACCCGCGGAGGTCAGCCCCGAAGAAACCATACGCAAAACGTCGAATCGTTACTTAACTGTACCGTTTCACCGGGCGGCGAAAAAACCCGGCAACGATTTTCTTGCAATCGTCCCCGGCCCCTCCGACGTTCTCCTCGTGTTCGTGCACGGACACGACGAGTCTTCGTCTACGACGAGTCTACGAACTCGCCGGCATCGCGGCAAAAGCCGCGGGAATCGTTGCAAACGAACGCGGCGAGCGTCGAAGAAACGTCGAATTTCTCGCGGGCGTTGCCTAATTGTTGCTCTCGAATTTCGCATTGTTTTCAAGCCTCGCGCTGGTCAAACATGTGCGAACCGTCGGCCGTTCCACGTTCTAGGATCAGTCCAGAACCACGCGTAACATTATGCAACACGCTCGCGTGAAAGTTTTACTCTCCAGATGCGTCGTTAAATGTTTTACCGGGACGGAATCGGGATTATAGAGGCGGCTCGTCGTGGAACTTAAGAGGTTTACGCGGTTCTGGAGAAACGGAGTCTGGAAATCTCCCGATGCTCCGAGGCCGCCGCCAGTCTCGATCCGGGCTCGCCAGTCTGTTTCCGGCGATCGTAAGTAGGTTAATTGGTGGACGCTACTTTGTCGAGCGTCTCTCCATTAGGATGGAGCCTTAAAATTGATGATAGGGCGCGGTAGACGCCGAGTTAGAGTCCGAGTTAGCACCGGAGTTAGACTCCGGGACGATGTTTCGTCGACCGCCGCTTTTGAGATGTCTCCAACTGGCGGCGCCATTTCGCCTAAGTGTTCCCTCGTCTGTTCTAGAATACGATAACTTCGGTACTTCAAACAGCCGGTTTCGGCTGGACCGTTCGATTTGATTGGGTTGGCAACCAAGTAATTGCCGATTTGTTCAATGAAATAAAAAATTTCTTTTTACTTGGAACGAAGTTTAATCTGTAATGTATTTTCCATTTTGTTCGATGACCTTTTGCCATCTCTCTGACAACTTGAAAATTCCACGCTCGTAGAAAGTCTGGTCCTTTTCGGCCAAAAACCGAGTTAAGTGAGATTTTACAGCGTCATCGTCGTTAAAAGTTTTACCACGAAGGGAGTTGTCCAGGGATCGAAATAAGTGGTAATCCGATGGCGCGAGATCGGGGCTATATGGTGGGTGTAACATCAATTCCCAACCAATATCCACGAATT